CGCTTCCCCATTTCTGGCTACCAACTGCGATCTAGCCCGGTCTCTTCTTCTTACTCAGCACAGGTATGGGCAGGGTAAATGAAATTAAATCGAGCCAACTGGCAGAGCGCCAGCCAGATGCTAGGGGTTACCCAAATCCACAAATCCCACCTTTTGCCTCGACTACTCGTAGCCCTAGGCGGCAGCCCAGTCAGCCGGGAAGTCAGTAAAATCGGCATCTCAACTCCTCAATAATTCCCGCGAGCCAAAGTGGAGCTTCAAGAGGCGATAATGTTCTTCGACGTGACACTGCTCTTTGCATCCATCTCACCGCATTTGGTGCGCAAGGCTATACGGTGCGTCCTGCATGGAAGTATGGCAAATCACGGGCATGTCTTTACTGATATTGTCATCATACTTGAGTAATATTCGTATACAACAGTCATTATGTTGTACACAGCAGCGATGGGAGCAGGGACGATGACTTGCGCAGGGGTTTATAGTGTCAGTAGACTTGCGTAACATCTACCTACACTCTCTCCCCCACCCCCCCCCCGCCTGGGCCCGGTGTCAAGACAGAGTCAAGAAGACCGGAGACGAGGGAGGCCGAAGGTGGATGGCTCGGACGGATCCTCGCCTTGGCGCTCTACTCCGCACACCCTGGACAAACTTTACTGCCGAGGAGGTGGGTACAGAAGGCCCTGCAAGCAGTCGCCGCGAGCTGTCCCTCCCGGCAAGTTGATTGCCTGCCGTTGAGTTTGTCTCCTCCCCCCCCCCGTCCGCCTGCCAGGGCGTGTGTGCCCCTTTCGCTCTGTCCCGGTTAGCGTCCAACAGACAATCAGAGAATGGGCAATGTTGATTGGCTTCGAGCTATCGTGAGACTAGTGGGAAGCCTCGCGCGGAAACCATCATCGCGGCCGACGAGGGCGGGGACGATTTAGGTCACGGTGACATGCGGTACGAATGCAGTCACACACGCGGCATTGGCAGACCACGCAACAAACCAAATGCCCCCTATAAGGAGAGCTGTGCAAATCGCTTCCCAGTCTTTGAGGATGGGTAGACGAATTGTCAGACCTCTAATAAATTTCTCCCGATCCATGCTGATCTGCATGACACCTTCCGAGGTGGCGTTGAGAGCGCAGTCGTCGGCGAAGAGAAATACGCGATTGAAAGTACATCAGCCGCTGATTGAGTAGGTGGCCGTCCGTCCTGTAGGCGATACCGATCCCAGTGCATTCGTCACGGTAGGCATCCATTAGTATGCCAGTGGCTAGGAGAACGTGGGACTGAAGAGGCTAGGTGCGAGAACGCATCCCTGATTCACTCTGTTGGTCACTGCGAATGCCTTTGAGACAGCTGTATTGTCCGTGACTCGCGCCATCAGGCCATCGTGGAGCTGACACACCATCTGAGTGAATCGCTCGGGACAGACGAGTTTTTGCATAATTTTCCACCGTCTGTCACGATGCTCCATGTCGAAGTCTTTCATCAGATCCACGAGGGTGAAGTAGAACTAGGTCGGCAGCTCGTGACGCTTTCCCTGCAGTTGACGGGCGGCGAAGATCCTGTCGGTGATGGCGAACAATAAGACATCCAGGAGCAATTAATTATCAGCCAGTTGGAGGCATCGTCTCCCATCAAGTTCCGAAATTTCACAAGTTGGCGCAAGTAATGGTGCACTTAATCACCTGTAAAGGGGTGGAAATGTGTCGGAGGTAGCTCGAAAGTTAGACTGTCGGTACGGTAGGCGACCTAACTAATGAAGGCTAATGAGCCTACATCCGACAACAGGGTGTCGCAGAGGCGGTGACATGCGCGTGATTTAGTTTATAATAGTAGTAGACTTACAATGCATCTACCCCGGTCTCTCTCCTTCTCATCCACAACCGCCTGGGCTCCTGGTAAGTTGTGGCTATGCAGTCCCACCTGATGGACACAATACTCTTTGGGTTGGGGTTATGGGTTCTGGCAGCTAAATCTCAACATTTCAGAGTATTTCAATTTCCAATAGCTTTGCTTTTGCACAAATTACTTGACATCTTCGCCCGCGGGTTCGACGGCCGCACCTGCAAAAACTCCTATTACCGCCGGTCTCGTATTACAGATGGCTGGGGTTTGTTTACTTCAGGTGGGATTACATAACCACACCTGATGGGGCCCATTTTTCATGACAAAATCAAGAAGACCGAAGGTCGGAGAGAACCGCGCCTCGCCGAGTGCACTGCGTGCGTGCGTGCGTGCGTGCGTGCGTGCGTGGGTGGGTGCACACATGACCTTTGTCCGCCTACAATCCCGATCAGCAAATGACACGTCGTGGCCATATCACGTGCGTTGCAATTGGCAGGAGGTGTTACTTAGGCTGACAGAAGGCGTCATGAGAGAATAACCAGACTGACGACCAGGAGAACGGACTGCCACAGACACCCAAGTTCGCCCCAACCGCTAAATGTCCTACCACACAACATCTCCGCCGCCGCCACCGCCACCGTCGCAGGACAGGTTAGTTATCGGTCAGTTGAACGGTCTTCTAAAAAGTTCAATTTCGAATTTCAGTCGTCCTCTTTTTTACTCTACATTCACATGGGAATTTTCTTATATGTACATCTGTTGGCCTATTTCACGCATTATATACAGAAATTTTCCCCTCTTCGTTTATATGAACTATAATAACGAGGTCATCGTTGCTTTTTAATTTCCTTAGAAATTAACTGCAAACTTGGAGAACATCTGTAACTTTAAGTTCCATAGGCTCAGACCAAAGTTTGTTTCGGCCAAAGTCCATCAGCCACATCAGTATACAACGCTAGCACTCTTCTGATCTTCTGGTTACCACAGTGAGTGACCGATCTCATGAAATATTGGCCGAAATGCGTTTTCGACTAGGAAGAATGATTTAGATGGGGTTGTAACATTGATTGTCATACGGCGTAACGCTATAGTATTTCGGACTCGTCGGGATGTCGCCTTTTGAATACACTTCTTTTCGATCTCCTGAATAAACCATGCTCGTTGAAAAATGACTACTTGTTTAGTATGGATTTTTTACTGGCCCAATAAATTCAAATATATTATGTAGAAAACGCACAAAATAGGCTTACTTTTACTCGTTTGGTAGAAAGTCACATCCTCTTTAACTTTTATACCCCATTAATTGATAAATTCCTGTTTTAAGAATTATGGGATCCTTAAGACCGTGCGATGTCCATGAATACATACATATTTTGGCTTATAAGACAGAAATGGCCATTCCAGTCTCCCTTGTCTTTGTCGGTAATAGCATTCTGCCTATATATCATGCGCCGCTGTGCGGCTGCTGGTTGGGCTCGAGAGAGAGCCCTTAAGGCACAAAGGCACGAGTGAGTTCCGTATGAACGATCGGTGAGCGCCCCACTAATATACATATTTTCAAAGCCGAAATATGCCCCATTTCGGGTATAAGTGTGAGCACAATGTGGTTACCGACCAAGCGTGTAAATGATGCATATTTTTATGCATTCAACAAAATATATTTGAATTACTGGGTACAGACAACAATTAATTTGAAAATGCATGCTAAATAAGTAGTTATTTTCCGAGTATGGTTTCTGCATGAGGTCTAAAAGGAGTCCATTGAAACGGTAACATCCTGGCGAGTCCGAATTACTATAGCGTTATGCCGTATGGCAATCAATGTTACAACCCCACCTAAGTAATCCTTCCTAACCGAAAACTCCATGCAGAATTTCGACCAACATTTCATGAGACCGGTCACGCTCTGTATCTGCTTTGCATGCCCCATTTTTATCCACTGTGGATGGAGGCCTATTGGGTAAACATTTTGGAATGACACTTACAAAATGACATCAATCGCGCTCGCTCTCTCTCTAACACAGGCGAAAGAACGAATGACGTTATATAAATGCGACTGAGAGAGATAGAGATCCGGCCTCGATGATGCCTTCTAGATCAGGCATGATCGCAGCCGTACCATGGAGAAGAAGAGAAAGAGATGAGGGGCAGTCCTACATACATCCTGTCAAGCTGGATGACACGAAAACCATATTTTGATGTGGAGGCGGTTCTGAGACCTCAATTAAATCAACATGAAAATATCCGGCTGAGTCCCGAAGACGAGTCTGAACCTTCACAAGATCATGCAATATTTCGACACAAAATTGCATTTTGCATCAACCGCGACCGACCTGATACGCGAACCTATGAGAAGAGACCTGGGTAAGATCGCAGTTATTAGCCAGACATTGTGCTGATACTGTCGACGTACGTACTCGTTGTCAGTAGGTTCCCGTTAGGGTCACTGTTAATGTTAAGGTTAGGGCTAAGGTTAGGCTTAAGGTTGTGTTCAGGCTTAAAGTTAGGGCTAGGGATAGGCTTAAGGTTGGTGTTAGGGTTATTGCTAGGTTTTGGGTAAGCGTTGGGTCGTAGGATTTTGGTTACGTGTCGGTTTTGAGGCTTAGGGTTAGGCCTTACGGTTGCCGTCAGGGGTTGGATTTTAGGGATAAGCGTGGGGTTTACATTCCTGCCATTATTCCCCCTACTTATAAATTCACAGCACTTTCTCTGGTAAATATACTTTTACCCAGAAACAGCAGGAACAGCCCTTCCATTTACCCCACCTATATAACCCTCTTTCCCACCATTGCCGTACGACAGGGACCTGGCTGTCCGCCTTCCCATTTCTGGCTACCAACTGCGATCTAACCGAGACCTGCACTGGAGTTGGACAAAATACGGAGCCCTCTTAAGATTGGGCATGGTTTCATTGATATTGCATCCACAGTTGAATAGTGTTACAGGTCGATGCGCCCTGTCCGTCAGGACTAATTGCACATGTATCTGCATTTATGTTGTGCCAGATAATATTGGGCATTTTGCAATTTTAAAAATCCAACTGCATCTTCTCCTATCGGAATCATTGTAGAGCGTGCATGTTCAATCGCCATGAACTTGGTGGACACTGAGGACTGCTCGTATCCTTCCTCCTTCCGAATTGGCCTCAGCGGGGCCCGCGCAGAAATCAAATGTTTGGTGCCTACGAGGAGGCCGTTTCCGTCAGCATCCGCTATCTGCGCCAGGCGCCTACGAGTCAACAATATCCTGCTCATTCCCTCCCTCCCATCCTCGTCTCCGCCATCACTGATTGCGACGTCTTAAGCGAAATGCTTGTTCTCCATGGCGGCTTCGTGTTGCGTGCATTCAAAAGGCGACATCTTGGTGAGTCCGTAATAGCATAGCGTTATGCCGTATGATAATCAATGTTACAACCCCACCTAAGTAATCCTTCCTAACCGAAAACTCCATGCAGAATTTCGACCAACATTTCATGAGACCGGTCACGAGATGTATCTGCTTTGCATGCCCCATTTTTATGCACTGTGGATGGAGGCATATTTGCTGAAAATTTTGGAATGACACTTGCAAAATGAGATCTATCGTGCTCCCTCTCTCCCTCTCCCTCTCTCTAACACAGGCGAAAGAACGAATGATGTTATATAAATGCGACTGACAGGCAGAGAAGGCCTCGATGATGCCGACTAGATCAGGCATGATCGCAGCCGTACCATGGAGAAGAAGAAGAGTTAGACATGAGGGTCAGACCTACACACATTCTGTCAAGCTTGATGACACGAAAAACATATTTTGATGTGGAGGCGGTTCTCAGACCTGAATTTAATCACCATGAAAATATCAGACTGAGCCCCGAAGACGAGACTGAACCTTTACGAGATCGTGCTATCTTTCGACACAAGATTGCATTTTTCATCAACCGTGACCGACCTGGTACGCGAACCTACGAGAAGAGACCTGCATTGGAGTAGGACAAAATCCAGAGCCCTCTTAATATTGGGCATGTCTTCATTGATTTTGCATCCACAGTTAAATAGTGTTACAGGTCGATGCGCCCTGTCCGTCAGGACTAATTGCACAAGTATGTGCATTTATGCTGTGCCAGATAATATTGGGCATTTTGCAATTTTAAAAATCCAACTGCATCTTCTCCTATCGGAATCATTGTAGAGCATGCATGTTCAATCCCCTTGGACTTGGTTGACGCTAAGGACTGCTCGTCTCCTTCCGAATTGGCCTCAGGGCCCGCCGCAAAAATCAAATGTTTGGTGCCTACGAGGAGGCCCATTCCGTCAGCATCCGCTATCTGCGACAGGCGCCTAGGAGGCAAGAATATCCTGCTTATTCCCGTGGGCCCCTCGTCGCCACCATCACTGATTACGACGCCTTAAGAGGAATGCTCGTTCTCCAATGCAGCTTGGTGTTGGATGTATTTACAATGTGATGTAGATGTAGATCAGGATACACCTTTAAAGTCGCATGAGGAAATGCGACATACAAATGAGGCAGATAACGTCGACTACAATACGCAGTCAATTTGTACACTCTGAAGATTGGGTGGGGATGCTAGCATACAGAGACCGCTCATTGGCACACACGTCAGAAAAGTATTGCTTTTAAGGCACGTCTGGTGAGTGAACTGTCTTTCACACACCTATGTCCCACAAGGTCCTGAGATTCAATAGCCTTCGATGTTTTCATTGATCCTTGATGGCGGACTGGAGTGAGAGTTTGAGACGTCGCAGTAGTATCATGCTAGATCTGGGTCTTTTCTTCTGCAAATATCTTACCTGGCTTGCAGGTAGTTACACATCTCACGCCTATAGATAAGGATAAAACGGACAGTCAATCTGTCGGCCGTATTCTCCAGAATGACTGCCCGCAGTGAACCCTGTCCCGATAATGGCAGGCAGTGATGCACTACCTGGACTTCCTGCGAAAATTGCAGCAAAGGTCCCTTTTTCTGAATGATGGAAATCAGATCAGCGCCGTACATCAGTATGAATGTAATCTTAGAGCACTTTATGCAAAAGGAGGATTTCGCCCTGTCGTCGTTCACGATCATTAATTTCTGAATGCATGCTTGCGGAGATAATGCTGCATGAGGGTACTGTTTGTCGGCTACACGACAAAGCCTTCGTGCTGTGTGCGCACTGGTGTAAACTATGCATGGCAAAGGTGTCTGACGTCTGTTGACAACGTATTTCTCTCCGCCCCCATCTTCCATCCCTTCCTGTCTGCAGGTTTACTGTGATGGACTCTCATTCGTCGGACTGCGTTCTCAGCATTCCAATCTCACGCATGCCCGCCCGCCAGCCCGCGACTGGAGTGATCCCGAGGCCCTGCTGTAGGATGCCAGACATGACGTGAATTTGATACAGCAGTTGGGTCAATTGCCCATCTCCTGCGTCGGCTGGTCAGAGGACGACCAGTTAGCCATCCAGACAGCATCAGACTTGAATTTCGACGGTCAGCCGCGTTTTGATTGGCCAGTTCTGCTGGTGGCGCATTAGGCCATTTGTCCGGAAATGCGCTCATTATGGGTGCTGACACCAATCACGTGTCCCCTGACATTGCGATTTAATGATCTGTGTCTGTACTCCTCATACACTGTTTCTGTTAATGCTGACGAGTACTTAAATAAAAAGCGCGATAAATGCACCGAAAGATGTGCTATTTTTTCCGAAATATTGGGATGTGTCATCTGGTTGAAACGGTTGCTGAAGTGGATTTGGAAGAGGCGATGGCAGAATGCGCATTCTGCCAAGTTATCTCATTGGCTGTGGCCTGCTGATTTGCAAAGTCACCTGGATATCGTTTGAAAGCAGGACGAAATACGTTCGAGACCGTTTTGCTCAAAGCTGTGAGCTAGAGCGTCCACAGATAGTCGCACAGCAACCCACCTTCATATATCAGACCTCTTCTGATTGTCATTGGGGTGTTTCTGTTTATTAAGGGAAAAATCATTGATATGTGTGAAGGTGAAAAAGGAATTTTGTACATAACGCCGGACAGCTTCCAGCTAGCCGAAAAATAGTAATAATTAACGGTTACTTCCTACTTACAAGTAGCACAAACACACACGTCAGTGTCGGGTTACGTGAGTGGATGTGAGGCTGGTGATTGGGAATCATGATGAGCTTCAAGTCTACACTTCAAGGAATTCACACAGGAGGCAACTACAACATCGGTAGTCAGGGCATTCCACGCTGCAAATACTCTGTTACTGAAAAATAACCTTCGTCCATTGATCCTTTCTTTCCCTGCGCGTAGTTTTAGGGGATGACTGCGCAAAGTGGGCGTGTTAGCTTGAGTAAACTAATCAGTGGGATCTAAACAACAGCCTAGGCCGTTGATAATGCGAAATGTTAATATAAGGGAAACCGGTTGAAAGTTGACAGTCTGGTTTCATGGGGCAGTGCTCCCAGACCACGTGTATGTTTGTTCTTGACTAATGAAATACTACTTTGTCATTTAAGTGTGACCCTGCCTTTGGACTTAGGCGTACGTCTGTGGGGATACCAACTAATAATAACTGGACGTGGTCTTAGCTATGTGATGAATTAGGATATTGGATAAGGACCTTTATCCGTTAGTGGAATAACTGTGGGGAGGAAATTTCTCATAAAACGAAGAACTATATATACATGGGGGTAACAGTGGATGCCTTGTGAAATCAAGTCAGTCAAGACAGATGGCGTTGATTTTTTCGGCGCATTTCCCTGTCGCGTTGGCTGGCAATCATGGCGTCTAAGATTCGTCTTCAGTGCCATTTCTAATAGATTTTGTCAGTCCACATCAAGATCAATTCGCCGTAGCAATTGGAACGTGAGTAAAAGCTCACCGACGTCTTGTCGATAGTGGAGACGATAAACGTTTAAGGCTGTCAGGCGCTATTCGTACGTCAAATATTTGAGTTCAGGGACAAGCTATATGGCACGTCCTTGCACACCACCTTCGAGATGAGCTATGCCCTCCCGAAGTAACGGACGCCAAGCCTGTACCGCATATTCCATGTGTGTCCACACCAATTTTCCCCATACCTCACCGATGATATCCGCATCCACGTCATAGAAGTTGACGTTGTCTGCACTGCGATGTTACGCTCACATCGTCTTTAATGAATACTACACACACATATATACGGTGAAGGCTGACCTATTCCGTATGTTGCGACCTATCAAACGATATGGGTTGTGAGATGACCAAGTGCATGGGGGAAGACAGCAGTAGAGGCCGGATCTGCTGTGCAGAAATTCGGTAGTGGTCAGGGCGCTATCCGCCCCACCGACAAATGCGCGGCCACATCTGAGACTGTGCACACGCAAGTCTGTTCGTTAGGGTGCTTTACCTAAAAATCGACCCAGAGGCATGGAAGGACGTCGCGGAAGATGGACAGGAGTGGCGCATTAGCGTAAAGGTTGGATTAGCAATGTAGGAAAACCAGGAGTGTGGCCGGCAACACTCAAATGCTACGGATAAATACTGTCAGCACCCAAAACCCTGCCATCACTTCCACACAGTGAGCGGACCTTCGGGGACGGACCGACTTCACAACACACAACCACTCCCGCCGCCATCGCCGCCGCCGACGCCGCTGCCACCACTGACAACACCAATGAGGACACTCCTACCTACCTGCAAAATAGTACAACCACTCCTCCTCATCCTCCTACCTCTAATCCACCGCCAACACCATCACCACTCGATGGTTCACCAGGTCGCGTGAGGGAATGCATAGACGGACAGTTTGCAGCTTTGTCCACCACTGCGCCCGATCCCACCTCCAGTCATCTGGACATTGTCTTTCCATCGGAGTCCGGTGGGTGTGGGTGGGAGAGAGGGAGTGGGGTAGATGTTGCGCAGAGGTGCCTCACAATAAACTGATTCCCATGAAAGTCACCAGTGCTGCGTCCAGTCTGCGCGCAGCCGATGCAGGTCGTGCCTCGTGGCGATCACATGATTCCACCTAGAGGACCCAGTTCACAGACTAGCTGATTGTATCACAATAGTGGCGGCCATTTATACCGAAATGAAAGCATCGCATCAGTAAGCTTGTTGATCGCAAATAAGTGTGCGATTATTCTTCTTATCAACCTCATCTCTTCATTGATCAGGCTGATCACATCCCTGCAGATCATATATACGCCTTCCACACACTACCAATTCCCTAACTGCACACCACCTATCAGATTCCACTGGGGATGAGGGAGATCTCGCTCCGTCGAGCGTAATCCGACGGTCACATCAAAAATGAGGCATGCAGTCTGACCCTAGGTCCTGAGAAGGGGCGTGTTATGCCGCCAGTTTGCACAACGTCAAGAAACAACTGTTTGCCAGTCCTCATAATCAATGCAGAGCTCATTTTCCGTTTAAAGTGAAAACATTAATAGACGGAGACGACTTCGACAGTCATCACCCTCTCTTCTCCAACCCCATCTCGGTTGCGTGCTCGAGTCAGGCGGTCTGTGAATGAGGAGACTTGGTACAGTGGCTGAGATTACCTGACAGTCCTATTGACGCTGTGGGAAACATGCGAAGCAATAAAACCAAATCCGACAACACATTCAAATATTAACTACAAATTGGCACAATTTTGGTTGCATTTATCGCGCATTTTATTTCAATACCTATCGACCTTAACATTA